AGTGAACACTGAAGAGTTTAAACCTAGCATTAGAGACCCCCAAAGAAAAATACAACATTCTAGAAATCCTCATACTTACTTCTGTAGATATAACATTAATGCTAGAATTGGGAATTGTATCACGGATTATTTGGTCATACTTTTTCTTATATTTGCCATCTACAGAAGCTCTTTTTATGTGAGACTTGTCTTCCTGTGGGCAGAATTATAAGATTTTCTAAGTACTAATATGTGTAGTAATATATTAATAGGTTAGGTATTAAAAAAACAACTTCATAGATTTTCATGTGATATAAAAAGATAATCAATTTTAGATATGATTCCTACTCAGAATAATCTTTAAAATAAAAAGCCAGACAACTGCCATTTAAATTGAGGCATTAATTTCAGTTAGCAAATTACAGATTTCATGAAGTATCACTATCTTAATTATTAGATATCATTACTTAATTTTAAACAATTATTTTTCCATACTTAAGATCTTAAGGAGTATTTTATAGAAAAGGTTGCTCTTGAATGTGACTTTTGAACAATGTTGATAGATATAGGACAAGGGGGAAGGTGTTATGAAATTTGGAAATCTTGCAATAATAAAATATATTAATAAAGTTTGCAATAATATGATTTTCCCCAAATTGAAAATTTCAAATTATCACTATTTCCAATTTAAGATTTTTGTTTTGGTATTGCCATATGCAGGCACCATGTTAGCTGGTAGAGATTTCCGTCATCTATTGTCAGCATTGGTCTTCAATTGTGTGAAGTCTTTGGGAACATATTCCTGTCATAAAATACAGCAGCCCTATTTGGACCACCTGCGTAGTAAGGTTTATTTGTTTACTTGTCCTTATGCTTTTTGTTGGTGGAATGTATTTTTATAAAGTCTCTTTAACTCCTTAAAGTCTTGGTTTTTAATTGAGTTTGCTTTTCATTGAGAAGATTAAAAATCCCTTGAAAGCATAAAGAGGGTAACTACTGAATTTCTTATATAGAATTTGAGAGCTGGAAGAGACCTCCAAGAGTTACCTCGTCAAATTCTTTGATAGTAACATGTCAAGAAATTAAACCCATCAGGTAAGTGGGTTGGAATGTCAGGGAGCGAAAGTAGAGCAGAATCTAGCTCTTTCTGCTGAACCAAGCTATTTCTGGATGCAAAATACTAATCCCACTTGAAGGAACTGAATACACAAGAACACTCAAGTTGTGCTTGTACATACAAACCAGTGAGAAAAGAAAAAAAAAAAAGCAATTCAAGCACGAACAATCAAAGAGTAAAGATTCTGAAGCTAGCACTTTTGTGGAAGGTAGTTCATTTTGATTATTTACAGGACCAAGGTGCAAATTTAATTAAAATCAACTTCTGTTTGGTCTTATGAATATTAAACATTCGGATTGTATACACTTTTGCAAGTAAGTCCCTAAATCAAATATGGCTATTAGATGACTTTAATGACATTTATTAGTTAAAGAAAATAATCATAAAATTCTCCTATCAACTACATGTTTTTTGACAGAAGTATGAGGCACTTTGAGAATTCTTATTTCATGTACAGAGCATTGCATGGTTCTAACATTGGAAAAGTCAGACCTTTCTCTAATCCGGTGACTGGAAGCAACTTTTAAATGAAATCTTACTGAATAATTTTTAAAATATTTTTATTACGTGTGCCATCTGAAATTTTACCCTCTCCCTTTTTTTCATTTAAGTGAGAAAGAACATTCTCTAGAGAAATAATATTAAAAATTAATTTCACCAAAGTGCTTGCTTCTCAGGGAAAGGGTACTATATACTTTCAGAAACTACAAAGGAAAAAACTCACTGGGACTACTCTGGAGCACTGATAGGGGAAGAAGAATTATGTACTTACTTGACCTTGATACTGAGTTTATTGGGTAAAGTTACATTTAAGGCAAATCAATGAGCTAATAAGTTGTGTCCACTCTATGTTAATAAACTTGTGTCTGCTTCATTTGGGTCTCAAAAACAATCCATTTAGTAATTTAATCAGTCAGTAGAGTTTTTACTAATTGGTAAGTGTACTTTTTAATTCCAAAGTATTTGAGAGTTACTTTATAGTAATTCTCAGAAGTACATGAACACATTGATAAGATACAAGGAAGAACAGAGAAAAACCTTCTTTGAGTCTTTTGACTAATAAAATTTTAAGAGAGAAACAGGTATTGAAAGTCCCTAGTGTGTAACCTGTTCACTTAAGGCACTGGTTCTCAGACTCTTGAGGGTGGTCCTAGAAGTCTTTACTAATAAATTCACTGAATATATGGTCTTGAATTACCAGATCAGTAATCCTGATTTACCAGATTAGAGCTCTGAAGTCAGAGAAGTCTAGTGACCTCATGGGGGTCACAGAGCTCCTTTAGCTTCCTGCACTGTATTTCCCAACTCTATGAAAACAATCTAAAGAATCTCAACTCCTTAACTCCTAAAAGGCATATAGTTAGATACATATGATACATATGGACAGCAAGAGCATAGACATTTAAAAACAGAGCAAAAAAAAGTAACTTGAACAGAATGTGGCATTTCCCTTGGTCTGTTGCTAACGGCCCACATACAACATGCTTAAAAAAAGCACCCTGGCACTTATTTTCATCATCGTGGTTTAAGAATGATTCAAATGGACATTTAGAAAGTATTGGTGTTTGGCAAGTACCCCATCTAGGGATAAAGGGAAAACAGCTTCTTCAAGTAGAGTTGTGTTTTCTGTGGTATCAGACGAAAGTTGATGTGTATTGTGTCTCTTCTTCTTGGTCACACTTTTACAGCCTAAAAATATTCTAATTGCTATTTTTCAGTACTCCAAATCCAATAGCATTGAACATTTCTTTTTGTAAGGAAAATAATGACAGACACTATTTTTTAAATGCCATTAAAATGTTCAGACACAAAAGAAACATGTAAAAAAAAGGAATTTATTTTCTGTATATCATGCACTTCATTTTTTATTGACTTGGAAGCCAATTACACTTTGTTTTGTAAAAATTAGAGACCACATCTTTAGCTGACACCTTTGTGGTGGCTGTTTTCTGAATATTGCTCTCATTACAGTTCTTCACACATATTCTGTATTCATATACACTCTTCACTGTAATTCAAAACTCCAATAAACTCATGAGTCCAAAGCTAGTCAACCTGTTTTGATAATTCCTGCTGTCAGCAAACATTCCTACAAATAATTGTTCTAACAAAGTTTAAACAATTTTCATGATAATACTGGGAAGTTGCAAAGAAAAAGTAATTTTGGTGAGCTGACATGAAAAACTGACTAATCATGGAGTATTTGCTCACTGTTGCAGTGAGTCTAAAGCCATCGGACTCACATCCCCATATTTTATCCCCCAGCCGCTAATAGTTCCTAGTCCTGAATGTTGCGGTGCAGGCATTGTATTTAAATCATTTGCTCAATCTAAAAATAGAAACTATCCTATGGAGAATTCATCTCCTTTTTTTGCTCTTTACTTCCGGTCTTTGGTCTTTACTTGTGCTTTAATGCTAGTCATTATTTTAGTACTGCACACCTGGACACATCACACAGTATAATGTATGTAGGCAGGCTTTGGAGAATTTATTTCAATTTACATACAATCCTCCAAATCCTCTGGCGAGGTTGATGTGAAATCTGACACAGCAGATCCCCAGCGGGATCTTCCTTTGCTCTCCATATTCATAGCCAAAGGCTCCAGCGGTCCCTCTGGGGAGCAGCAGTGGGGCTAAGGAGTCGGGGAGAGGGGTGACTGCGGGGCTTGTTGCGCTGAAGATTTACAATGTACTTCTTACAGGCGGCTCAGCAACCCCCTCTGTGGCTGTGGGTGTCTGGTGTGACAGAGCAGAGAAAAGCTCTGTAATCTCCCAGTGCCTGCCTCTGCTCAACCGCTCCCCTCCCTCCCGCCTTCCCTGCTTCCTCGCGCTCTCTCGTTCTCTCCTTTGCTTTTCTCGGGGAGTTTCAGTCCCTGAATGCAGCTGGAGTAGCTTTCGCATTCTAGACCCGGAGTCTGTGTACACACACACGCGCGAGCGCGCGCACACACACATGCACACACTCGCGCACACGCACTTTGGTTCTGCCCTCTGGGATATGGAGCGAACCTTCATCTACCTGAAGTGGATAGCGCGGCCGGACACTTCTTCCTCACTTGTCATCTTCAGAGGGCAAAGCAACATCGGAACAAGGGAGGCTACTTGTCCGATCTACAACCTCACGCCCTTTGCCACCACCGCTGCTTAAAGTGTCCAGGGTGCAGGAGAAGGCTTCTCCAGGACAGATCCCCTGCATAGCTCCGCGGCCCTCTGCTTCACTCCAGTCTTTCCCTCCATCACTCTCGGCCATCCTCTCCTCTCTGGCTGCGGGGTGTAAGGCTGGGGCGCTTCCTGTGCTGCTGCCGCTGGGAGCACATCCCACCCAGAGGACTTACGCCGCTGCCGGAGTTGGGGGGAGAGGGAGGGAGCAATCAAAAGCGCTAACTTCCCTCTCTACAGGGTCGCTTTCCTCTCCTCAGTCCTCCGGGTCCTCCCAGCCCAGGGCGGGTTGGACAGCTCCCGGGGAAAGCCAGGCGAGAGCGCAGCGCAGGGGAGGAGAGCCGGAAGCCGCAGGCGCACCAGGGCGCGGGCAGCATGTGCCCAGGAGCCGGGAGCTCAACCGACTAGTAGCGCGCGCCCGGCGAGCTAGAAGCTTTCCAAGTTGGGCGCGTCCCAGAGCTCGCTGCCCCGCGTCTCAGGCACTGTTGTTCAGGGAGAGGCGGGGCTGATGGGGAGCGCTGAGGCTGCCGTTGCCAGCGGCCAGAGCCTGTCTTAAAGGAACTCGGGCTAGCATCCCCAGGGTCCCAGCTGGCCGGCGTCGCGCCCTCGGCCCGCGTGCGCTCTCTCATGACAGCGCTGGTGGTGGCCCCGGTGGCCCGCCCTCGGGGGGTGTCGGAGGGGGCGGGGGAAGAGGAGGAGGCAGTGTGATGGCCCTGGACGGCGAACGGGGGGAGCGAGAGGAGGAGAAGAAAAAGAAGAAGAAGAAAAAGAAGAGGAAGAAGAAGAAGGAGGAGGAGGGGGCCGAGAAGAGCAGCTCACCCTACGCGGCCACCATGGAAGACAACGCCGCGCTCCGGGCAAGCGGCCGGGGGCTCTCGGACCCGTGGGCGGATTCGGTGGGAGTGCGACCCCGCACCACCGAGCGCCACATCGCGGTGCACAAGCGGCTCGTGCTGGCCTTCGCCGTGTCCATCGTGGCACTACTTGCGGTCACCATGCTTGCGGTGCTGCTTAGCCTGCGCTTCGACGAGTGCGGGGCAAACGCAGCGCCTGGCGCCGACGGTGGCCCCGCTGGCTTCCCTGAGCGCGGTAGTAACGGTAGCCTTCCGGGATCTGCCCGGCGCAACCACCACGCGGGCGGAGACTCCTCGCAGCCGGACATAAGTGGGGTGGCCACCCCAGGGATCCCATCTGCTCAGCCGCCGTCGGAGGAGGAGCGGGAGCAGTGGCAGCCCTGGACGCAGCTGCGCCTATCTGGCCATCTCAAACCGCTGCACTACAATTTGATGCTCACCGCCTTTATGGAAAACTTCACCTTCTCCGGGGAGGTCAACGTGGAGATCGCGTGCCGGAACGCCACCCGCTACGTAGTGCTGCACGCCTCCCGGGTGGCGGTGGAGAAGGTGCAAGTGGCCGAGGACCGGGCGGCGGGAGCAGTCCCGGTGGCGGGCTTTTTCCTCTACCCGCAGACCCAGGTCTTAGTTGTGGTGCTGAACAGGACCCTGGACGCGCAGAGGAATTACAATTTGAAGATTATCTACAACGCCTTGATAGAGAACGAGCTTCTGGGCTTCTTCCGCAGCTCCTACGTGCTCCACGGGGAGAGAAGGTACGGAGGGGAGGCGGTGCCCCACGCTGCCCCACCCTGCCAGGCAGCTCGTATGGCTGAGTGGCGGGGAGACCCTCAGGGACCCGGCTGGCTTCCACTATCCAGTAAATCGGGGGTGGGAGATGGAAGAGAAGGAGAGGTAGGACCCTCACCCAGAAAGAACCTTCGGGGTCTCCAGATGCCAAATCTGCCACTGCTGCCAACCCCATAAACTCACCAGTGTCAAAAGATGAATGCCACTCCCTCCTCTAGTTGGGACTTTCCCCTTCCCTGCCAAAGTTAGGTAGCCAGTGGGACATGCGGGTTTTTCTGAAGCATAGCAGGTAATCTGAGCGATGCCAGAATAACACTCAAAGCTTGCCAGGTTACCATGGAGGGAAGGTATTACAACGACAAAGACCAGGGCAGCAGCTCAACCCAGTCCTTTCAGGGCAAGGCAGACACTGTTTCATCCCCTCAACATGCCCACCTCCCCTGACTACTAGGAGTCCTGCTTCAGGCGCAGAGCGGAGGATGGGCTTTGGCTTTATAAAGTTTCCCCAAACTGCAAGTTGAGATACAGAGCAGAAAAAAGCTGTTCCGTGGGGCGGCTGAGGGCAGGGAGGGGGGTGACAGTAGCCGTGACTAAAGTCAGCTTAGCAGGCATGGCAAACTTTCTGCTGAATGACCAGTTGGGGAGTTCTTGCCTTTGGAGAAGACTACAGTGGTGAAGGGAAGGAAAACTAACAGTCTCAAAAGCCTTGTTAGAGAGTACTTTTGCTGAGGTTTAGATTTGGGCAGTATTTTATTTTTTATTTTTTGGGAGTTTGAGGTGGTTTTTACCTCTTGTTAAGAGCTCAGACTTGGGAACTGATGATGCTGTGTTCAAATGTTCACTGTTTCTGTAGCTGGGGTGAAGGTTTGAGCAAAGTGTTTAATCCAAGTCATCAATTCCCGCCAAGGACTGAATGACTATCTCTAGTACTTATTGCCCACTGTGAACTCAATTCTACTACATCCTTATGGGGCCAGTGCAATTATCAGAGCTGTCCATGTTACAGGTGGGGAAATGGAGGCTCAGAAAAGTCAAATAGCTTGCCCGAGATCACAGAGTGAGCCAACAAAGCAGGATTTAGACCCCATATTTTTAATTCTAACTTGGTGATGGTGATGATAATAACACTGTCCTTACAGGATTGCTGCATATGTCCATGGGTGAATGCATTGAGAAACACTTAACTCTATGGCCAGCATATAGTGTCCATCACGAATGCCAAGTTCTCATGAGCTTCTTGTGGTAGTAAGCTCCCAATTATATTATTGAATGAATGAATGAGTTATTCTTGCTCATTGCTGTATCCCATTGCATTTAAAATAACTTTAATTAATTAAATGGCTATAGGACAGATGAACAAACAAAGTGAACTTAAAAATGAAATCTTCAGCCGCAGACTTGTTGGCAGTTAGAAAGTCATGAGACAGAGCCTCTCCTTTCCTCAGGTGATTCCCACAACAGCAGAAAACTAGGGCTTAGAGCATCCCAGGGTGCCTGAGGTCAGCAGGCTTGTTGTTGGAGAGCTAGGAATTGAACTTTAATTTTCTGAGCTCATTGTTTTTGGAAACTCCCGAAAGAAGTCATTATGTAAGAGGTTGGGAAAATTTCAATGTGATACATAAAAGTTTTATTACTTACAGAGTGTATGAAATAACCTTATATAAATAAAGGTCATTGCTTTAGTAGTTAAAACCTCCTGTAAGTGAATGTATAAATTCTTCACTTTCTAACTTCTAAGATCAGACATGGATAACTTAAACTCTCTTCCATTACTTCCTTCAACATGTTCTAAAGAATTTAGATTAAAAGTATTTTTTAAACCCACACTTACATCAAATATGAGGGAAAGGCATAGAAGGCAAATTTGCATGTTATGTTGAGAAACAAGCTTCTCATGTTAAAATGTCAACAGTGGGAGTTGCATATCATTACTGATGAATCTTGCTGTGGTGAAATAAATACTCCCTGACTCCTTGAAATCCTGTTTTTTGTGTCATGCCAAAATGGATTTGGCAGAACTGAGCTTGTTTTGGTCAGTGCTTTCAAATTAAGAGGACTCTTAAAAAGACCAGATGTTTCTGCTTGACCCATAACTGATTTCTTGTACCTCTAGTGCATATTTGTATTCAAACTCACTTCTTCAGTTTTCCCCAAAGATGTAAATAATTTGGTTGGAAGTTTAACCTAATGCATGTGTGGCTAATCTCTGCATCCCAGTAGAAATGTAGAATTCAGTGTTGTGGAGATTTCCAGGATGGTTTTATTTCTAAACAGCTTCTTAGAGAAAGTCCTTGTTCCTCCTTTTCCTCGTCTTCTATACCAGAGTGAATCTGATAATTTCTTGTCTGTTTCTGCTGGAGTTGATAAGGCAACAGAAATCTAATAAACCATTTCATAATTATGTCAACATTCCATATATTAATCTTTTGTTGTTGTTACTATGACTACTTGAAGCATTTTTAAAGCAGACCAATATCAGGAATTCAGCCAGGATTGGACTTTTACTGGTCAAAATGCAATGTGAATTGGCATTTAAAAACCATCTTACTAAAAGGACAGATGCAAACTGAATTTTCATTTGATTAATGATTAAGTATCTTGATCTTTAGTTCATCATCATTTTTGCCAATTTAATTATAGAATAATTTCTGTAATGAAAACAAATATTTAATCTGCCAACGGGAGTTGAATTGAGTAACTTGAAATACTTAAAAGAGCAACACTACAACTTAGTTCACTTTATTTACCTGTGAGGGAAGAATAGCTCATTAATATCTTTGTCTTACTTCTTAGACATCAAAGAGAGGGAATTTTGGAGAGGGTAGCAAAGTTAAATTCTACTGTATCCTATATATGTTTGCCTCCTGGAAGGTTTTATTCCCTTCTAGGTGTAGGAGGGATGGCACTTTTATCCTGCAGGGAAAAACCATTTCTTGGTGCTAAGACACACTCCTCATCAAAGCCCAGGATTCCCCAACTTCTTACCAATCCTCCACTCTTGGTTACTCATTTGGCTAAGAAAAAAAACCAAACTTGTCTCTTGCTGAATACTGAAAATAAATAAATTCTTTACAATTTGAGATGTTTATACACAAACAGTAAATTATCTCCATCAAGCAGAGCACATATTCACTTTTTCTCAACTAGGTGTGCAGCAGGCAGATAAGGGGTGTGTATTTATGCTTCCATCTCTTATAGGTGAATAAACCTTCTTAGAATTAGGCAAAATGTTCATTTACCTGAAGTAATTGCTGTTTTTGGGTAAACAGATGGTGAGCACACCCATGTTCAAAGTAGGGTACCTTAATTTAGATCCAGATGGTCAGATTGAAAGAGGAAATTTACCCAAAGTAAATGAACATTTTATTCATTTTCAAAAGGGAGACTGTTTTTCTTCGACAAACTTTGATTGGGTCTATAACATGCCAAAGTGACAGAAGACAGAATAAAAATAGAAGTTCTTTTTCTGTAATGGGTATGTAGAGAGAAACCACGATCTCTGAATAAAATGAGAAAATAATAATTGTAGTTCTCAAAGAGAATTGGGACCACTTTTTTGCCAAAGTCTTGTGGAGATCACAGAGAATATTACCTCTGGCATAGACTCTTTGGGGTATCAGTATACATGGTTTGTGCTTTGTATTTTTATGCGATGAATTAGTAATTATGATATTTAATTAAAGCAAGAAACCCACCACATTGTTTTTCTGTTATATCAGCCTTCCTTCTTGCATTCACTTTGGTGAGTTTTACATTAGCAAGTGGGAGTATGGATGGCTTTTTGCCCCTCTGTAGAAGGCTCTGAACTAAAGAATCTTAAGAACCATTTGTTTCTGTGAAAACGTTTTTATATATTTCTTTGATGGATTTAGCTCATTGTTTTCATGTTAGGCACACATAACCATATGGCTAAACTGATTCCAGTGCTGGATTTTGGTCACAATTCAAAAGGCCACCAGTAAATGAAATCTTAAAAATACCTGACCAATAATGACTCAATCAGGGAAGAACATTCATACAAATGGTGTCTGTCTTTCTGTGTTTTTCTGCGGTACCATCTGACTTGATCATCCTGGACACTAATAAAGTACACAGTTTCTCTGAAAGAGTTAATTTATTTTGACTGTGTTTTTATTTATTCAATGCAACTTCAAACAGAGACTATCTGCTGTGGATCTTTTTAAAACAAAGATGGACCCTTACAATATTTGGTCTGCACAGCATTTGTTTTCTCGGACCTAATTTTGCTGCTGCTGTGTGTGGATAGGCTTGAAACTGTGGTACAGGGCTTTGCTTGAGGTTGTGACATTTGGTCACTATGTTTGCAAGAATAGGACACATCTCTTCAAGCATGACTTCAAAGAGTGATACAGGGCTGGGCACTGTGGCTCACATCTGTAATCCCAGCTACTCATGATACAGAGATTGGTAGAATCATGGTTTGGGGCCAACCTAGGCAAAAAGTTATAGATACCCAATCTAAAGCAGAAGCTGAGCAGAAGGGTTTGTTCCTGTGATCCCACCTATGCAGGAAGGATAGGTAGGGGGATTGAAGTCCTTTAGTCTGAGACCTGCTCTAGGCAAAAAATGGAGACCATATTTGAAAAATAACTAAAACAAAAAAGGCTGGGAGTGAGACTCAAGTGGTAGAGCACGAGCACAAGGCCCTACATTCAAACCACAGTACTTCAAAAACAAACAAAATAAATAAATGAAGAGTGATACAAAAACAGTGAGGAAGAAATAATGTACTTTTAAAACACAGAGGCAGGGCATCCTTCCTTCCACGAAGGAAGCCATGGTAGTCATCACCAGCATCACCATCATTATCATCATCCTTCTCTTAATTCATTGCGTGTTCTTCACATCCTCCCAGAGCTGCAATAGCAGCTGCGTTCTCCCAGAATTTTTGAGTCCTATGCCATCCTGCTTTTGCCACTTGACAGTGAATACTGCCTCTCACACA